CCGGATTCCTCGCAGGCCCCTTCCCTACAAGAGGCGCAGTGGAGGCCAGGATTCAGCGCTCGGCAAAAGCATGTGCTCAGGGCAGCAGGTGGCGAGGTGCTCAAGGCACTGGACTCCCACATGGCTGACTGTGGTACGGTCCTGGGCCTGCCGGCTTGCTCTCTCACTTTCCCTCTCTCTGGCCAAATTTTAAAATGATAATAAAAAATATGGGACCAGCAGTTGGCATAATGGCTCTGTCACTGGACTCCCATGCAGCTGACTGCAGTTCGAGTCCCGGATCCAGACTTAAACTCACGCTGGGCACGTGTGCGTGCATGCCCAGGATTCCAAGAGGAGAATGGAGGACAAGGGACTGCGGCATGGCCATCCCCCCTGGGGGGTGATTTCTCACATTCTCTGTCTTTCTGGCGAGTGCGCACACCACATAGCAAAAACCTCTCCAAAGTAATAATAATAATAATAAATAAAGTAAATAACTCCTTAAAAAAAAAAAACATCCAGGACCAGCTGATGGTGTAATGGCTACATCACTGGACTCCCATGTAGCCGACTGCGGTTCGAGTCCCAGACTCAGTGCGTAAACTCAGACCAGGCACATGTACATGTGGGCCCAAAATCCACCACATAGCAAAAACCTCTCCAAAGTAATAATAATAATAATAAATAAAGTAAATAACTCCTTAAAAAAAAAAAACATCCAGGACCAGCTGATGGTGTAATGGCTACATCACTGGACTCCCATGTAGCCGACTGCGGTTCGAGTCCCAGACTCAGTGCGTAAACTCAGACCAGGCACATGTACATGTGGGCCCAAAATCCTGAGAGAAGAAATGGAGGAGAAAGGATTACCACATGCCTGATCCCCCCGGGCGGTGATTTCTCCCTTTCTTTCTGTCTCTCTGTCTCTCCAGCGAGCGCACACCCCCTATAGCAAAAAATCTCTCTTAAAAAAAAGAAAATACCCATATGCTGAGAAATTGCTCTCGTCAGCACACAGCAGAAAACTTCAACCGAGAAATCGCCCGTCACACTAACGAGGCCAGCGCGCGGGACCGCGGCCACCGCGGCTCCCGGCCTCCCGCTCCGCCCCGACCCAGGGCTGCCATGTTGGTTCCCCACACACTCCAGAAGCTGCTCCTCCCGTTGCCAGCTTTCGTACACCCCTTTAACTCTCTTTA